TTGAAAAAAGCTACAGGTCTCTCGTTAGCACAGACAGCTGAGGTAAACAAGCGGCGGAGGCTAACCTGAAACTTCCCGTGTCTTCTTACTGCTTACACAGCGAAACAGCCATCCAAAAGAAAGTCTAATTCCTCCGCGCTTCCCGGTTCTATCATGCTATGGTCACGCCATCCACGTTCAAATGTCCATATTGAGCTCCGTATACAGTTAGCATGAGCAGAGGCTCTCACTTCGAATGAGAGTGTGAGCTCAGTGTTCTCATTCGAAAATTCCTCAAAGTCAGTTAGTGCAGCTTTAACAAAACCGTTGAAACGCCAACACAGATCAGAGAATCGACACAAAACATATAGAACACACATTGGTTCATTGGAGAGACCAATGTCCATGAATGTTGATAAATGTCCATACATGTTGTATTTTATCTAAGTGATGACAATATCCAGAACATGTGTGTGTTGTTGGCCAGTCAAAACACTTAAAAATACTATTGTAACTATATTGTCACTATAAAAATTATGATCTCAGGAAACATTTGAACATGTCCTTTGATTATTCTGAGGATTTGCACCATACCCTCCAAATGAATTCTAGAACATGAACGCAATCTATTGAAAAATCCCATGAGCAGAACAGAACACACAAATATCACCTGCTGAATCACATCTATAACCCACTTTTTTTCTGCGATTTTGTTGCCAACAAGTCAGCATCCAAAAGCACAACGTCAGTGAGTCCAGGACACGACTGGCAACGTTCCTGTGAATGTGAGAGACGCATGACGGCCTTGTGCAGTACACATGAGGCTCGGTCTTGTGTCTGCCAGAGAGAGAGAGAGAGTTTGATAAGGAACAGGAAATGAAAGCTCTCGTCCTTCAGCCCGACAACCCACACACACTATTCTGTTCTCAATCACCTCCAATAACACACTTCAGCACATCGATTCAAACCATTCAGCTGTAATTAGTTCATTATCGCTTCAACAAGGCCGCGCAACACAGACGCTGTTAATTTGTCCTAAAATAAGAAAGTCGGCTTGTTTTTGCCGGATTAAGTTGCGAACCACGTCACCAAAATAATGTGTTTGCGAATAAAAAAAGGTGAGTATTGTTTTAACGAGGGGACTGACAACAAAGGAGGATTTGTGACTTCAAGACTCTGAAAAAAATTTGTGAAGCTCGGTGTTTCTTTTGTGAAACTGCTGCGCTTTAGAAATAAGATATGTCTTCGGCAAATTATTTTACCTTCGCTGACTTCACATTGCCTCACAAATAGAGAAGTGGAAGAAGCCGGGGTAAAGTCATGTTATTCGACAAGATGGAAATTAGAGGCGGCGTTTGTTTGCTTTTTGGGAGCGGCAGAAAACTTAAAAGGTACATGAATTTATCTATTCCCAGGATTTTCCGTCTGTTTGTGTTTTAGACTATAGCCGCTTGTGCTGGAGTCACAATTGCACAGGTACCACTGAAATACAGGGAAATGGAGAAACAAAAAAAGTCACAACAAGGGTAAGCCAATCATTAAAACACTCACAAAGGTTTCCACAATCTTTTTATTATTCTAACTCAAACATGAAAGGAATAAGAAACAAGTGAGCAGAGTGGGGTGGGCCAGTTGTGCCAAAAAACAAAGAATCACAAGGTATGTGCAAAACGGTCAAACATTAAAGCTCCTCTACAAAAGGAATGGCCTAGTCTATTTTATCTAACAAAATGGGAGCACATATATGTAGTAGTAGTTTATTTTTGTTTATTTTTTTTCTTCGGCTAATATGTACACCCAACTTCGGGTCACACGGATACAGAGATCACATTTACTTTTTACAACAAGAAAATAAAAAGAACCAAAATGTGTCCATGAAGGACCTTGTGCGAAACAATACCTGACCGAAAGGGTGTAGGCTGAAGTAAGTAAGTAATCGGCAAATAAGATGCATCGTGATTTATTAAGGACTTCACAGATTTCATTTATGTACAGAATAAATAGTTTGGGTCCTATCAACAAGGGTGGCAACAACTGATAAATCTACTGTGTTTTAACCAGACGTGGGCAATTATTGTGGGCCAAACTCAATTTCACAAAGGTTTAATCTAAAAAGAAATGTACATTAAGGTATCCAGTGTATTCTTTGCATTTGTGGCTATTTTGTTTCAAGTAAATTATGGCTAATAATAAAGAATGAGACGCCAATTGTTTTTTTAGTTTTTATTTCATCTTCTACCCCCTCCTCTGCCTGATTTTATTGTGTTGCAACCTTCCAACGCTTTCATTCATATTTTTACTTTTAATCTTATATTTTTTATTTTTAGTCTTTTAAATTTAATTATGGAATGTTTTTGATTATTTTGGTTTTAACTTTTTGTGGTAACTTTGTTTGAGTTTGATCAAATGTGCGGTATTGCAGTACTTTCAAGAACTTTTAATATACAGTCTCACATTAGTTAGTACTTCTGGCTTTTGAAGTATTTGGAGTACTTTAATTTGTACTTCTTTCTATCTTTCAAGATGGGACATTTGTAAGTCTTATATTTTTTTATCGTTTAATGTTTTTCATTTGGTTTTTGTTTTTTTCGTGCTTTTTTTTCTTTTCTTTGTTTTTGTGTATTGTTTGCAGTCACTCACACTGACTTCTAAAACCCAAAATATTCAGTAAATTGTCTTATTATTGTCTCAAAAATCCTCATGTCTCTTTATTGACTCGTTGACCCTGATTGTTGAACTACTTTGTGGAAGCGTGTTCGTCTTGAGTGTGTTTGGGTGAAAAGATTGATTGAAACAGAACATTGGCTCAGTTCCAAATGGCCCACTGCAGTATCTGATGTCAGCTGTGAAAGTAAGGGACATCTGACATTTTTGAGCCTGCTTGATTTATTACATTTCCCAGTTTGTATATTCAAAATGAGTGATTTTTTTTTTATGACAAATTCATATTATTAACATATTTTGTTTTTGGAGTAAGCAATGTAAACTTTTGGCAAGATAGGAAATCAAAACCAAGCAATTACCAAAGTTGTGCATAAAAAGTAAACAATTTACCACTGACTCTTATTTATTATTATTGTTATTGAAGTATTTGGGTGGTAGTGGCTCAGTTGGTAGAGCATCGACCTTTGAGGTTGTGGGTTCGAGCCCACCACAAGACCTTCTCCGCCGACTCCCGCTGATGTCTGCTTCTGTTGTGTCCCTGGGCAAGACACTTAAGCACACTTTGCCTAAAGCCCCCGGAGTGTTGGAGCAGCCATCCTCCTGTGGACTCACCACCTGAAGGAGGATCAGTGAATTGACCCAGAAATGGACAAAGGGGAAGAAAATGGGTGGATGGAGTGGAAGTACAGTGTCAAAGGGCAGGAACTGGAAACTTCTGAGGCCATGTGTTAAAATGAAAAGTACACACTCTCCTGCTCCCTTTTGAACATGGTTTATTGTGTATATTTGTTGATAAAGCAGCTAATTCTTTTTGTTTGAATGCCATTGTGCATGTGTGTTTTCTTTACACTCTTCGTGTTTTGCATTGTCTGAATAAAATAGGAATAACAATAATACATTTGTTTTGTTAAGTACACTCAAAGACCATTCAGAGGGCAGTATTCTTTCACTCCATACATTGTGCAGGTGAAATACCAGTGTTCCCACTGCTGCATTGGGGTAAACTGAAGCGAGGCCACCAGTATGTCTCAGCAGCTCCTCTGACCACTACCAATCATTCATACTATAGGCAGTGTAGGCTAAGTGTCTAAGGACACAATGACAGTTTGGCATTTCACAGCCACAGCTGCCCCACTATGGCACGTGGTATTTCCAGAGGTTTCCCATCTCAGTTCTAACCAGGCTTTGCCCTGCTTAGAATCTGAGATCTGCCAGGGCCATTCATTCATGCAAATGTTGTGAATGTGAAAATTATTAAGAAGCCATTTTGAAATAAAAGTTATTTTATTTACATAAGAAACAGTGTTTTTGAATGTGGCAAATAACCCCATGCATACAGAACCTTTGAAGTCAGGTGTGTGGCCTCCACTAAAACAACATACAAATGCAACTATGTGCTCTGCAAGTCACAAGCATTACTGCACCAGACACAGATACGCCGCCTCCATCCCCAAGGTTCATCGCATGAACACTGCCAACAGTCCAATGAATATTCATCGAACACTTACCATAAAAAATACAGCACAAGAGTATGTACAAACACACAACTACATACATTTACATTGTACACTTTGTGAAATCCTAAAAAGTGGTCATTATAACAAACTTCACTGAATATAACAAAGCACATGGCGAGCTATAAAAGGAACTGTTGAATTGCAACGTGTCAAATTGATGTTCATCGACTTTGACATGTTTCAAGTATTTGAAAGGCGAAGCCGTGGAGAGCTGACAGTATTATGTGAGCCTTCAATAAAACATGATGGAATATTAGCTAAATGTTTCAGAGTTCTTTCAACCGCACTATGAATAACTGGGACAACCAAAAGTAAAACAACAAAAAAGTGCTTTATTCAAAATGCCTGTGGGGGGAAGGTGGTGTGCCGAATTTTATTTTGTGAATCGTTTTAGTTTTCATCCGATTTAGGGATAAGACAAGGAGACAAAAATCCTTTACATATGTATTAGTCTAATCCAGGCTTTAAAACCCGCCCCCCTTATTTTGCTGATCGTGAAGCCCCTCTGGCCAAATGTTTCAACTCAACCAAATAAAAGACAATGGCTCCTGGCGAAAGGATCAAAGACAGAGCAGATGCCTAAATGTGTCTTTGGGGGCGTGAGAATAAATTATGTGCATAAGAATGTGTGTCTGTTAGCACTGGCAGACGTCTCCCGGGGAAGAAGGTACATGCAGTGTAAATAAAAAAATTGTAAATAAAAAGTGAAAGTGACCCGTGAGATTCGGTGGAGTCTGGTTTGAACCTAGAGGGACGACAGGGCGTCAGGGGGGCTTCCGACAGTCATTTGTCTTTAAGATCGGCCCCTCTTTGAGCCTACGGTCCACTGCGTGTGTCCAGTCAGAGTCTCCTCAGATTGTGTTCCTCTGAGCACGAGCCTTTCCTCAGTGTGATGTCGTCCACTGCCATCTCACCACTGCGACCACGCCCGCGCTCCCCCTTCAGGATGACCTGTGAACAGCAATTATTGACATTAAAGAAGAACTCATTAAACTTGTTAAATTGAGCCATTAAACTTTTAAATAAGGTTATTTACTTTGAAATGTCATGTTTTAGAATGTGAAATGATATCTTGAGTATATAATATATGGTGAAGCAAGTTTCTGCTTGAAACTCCCTCAGCTACCAACAGAGGGAGGATTTCAATTTATTTCACGGCGCGGTGGCTCATGGTTAGCACTTTGCTCCTCAACAAAGAGAGGTTCAAAACCCGGGTGGAACAGGGGCTTTTTAAGATGAGTGGAGTTTCCCCCTCTAGGAAAAAAATACATAAGAGGGCCGCTCTTTCTGAAGCCAGGACTCTTCTGAAAAAAGACATTGTGGAACCCACTGCAAACACAGTCACGTGTTCACCTGAGAAATTGGCAAAACTAGTTCAGAAGTAGCCTGGCCATAGCCATCCGTACACTCCGCTCAATCATCATTTCACTGCATGTAACGTCTGGGTCTGGTCCCTGTGTTAGCGATTACAATCGGTCGTATTTCGACCGGCTACTCAGAGAGCGCGTTGTAGGTCGGTGCCAGTGACTTCAAGAGTTTGCGCCGAACGGGCCGGTTGTAGTTTGGCAGTGTCGAAGAATGCGATAGTAAAGTAATCTGGTCTGGTTCTATCAAGAAATTGAAGCAGGAGCAAGAGGAATGTTTAGCAAATGTAATCGCTGGTCAAGATTGTGGTGCTACTCCCCACGGGCTCCGTCAGCGGCAAACAGAGATGGTTAGGCTAAATGCTAAATGCTAACAACAGACTTGGGCGCACTACATACGTCACGGTAAACTCAGATCCAATCGTTTCAATCTGCAAACGGAGTTAACCCCTCCCACCTGTTCACTGAGCTCAATGGAGCAAATCCAGACCTTAGTATGAAATGAAATTTGTACTAAGGTGTGGTACAACCAGGGTAGTTTAGAAGCAATACTTTTGTTTTTGTGACGTCATACTATTAAATTACTTTTAGACAGAAAGGTTGAGTTACACGTTTGGGCCAGAAGTGAAAGCTGGAGTTTTTGAAACATGGCCAATAAATAAAAAAACACTGTGTTAGAAAGAAATTCAGCGAGGAGGGTCTGGAGCATGCTTTTTTCCCAGGGAGTTGTGATTACTCTTGTAGGAAGGTATAGTTTTGTTTATTTTAAAGTGATTATAGCTTGCATCACTGCACTGACTGAATTATCCTGATTTGAGGATTTTGAGTTTTCAAAAAAAAAAAAAAAAGTATTATTCTGTACTCCTTTGGTTCGGCACACTCGATGATATATAAACGTGTCGCTAAACTCTTTCTAAGCTTTATACAGCCATATAAAACCAATCATGGAATATTCCCACATTGAGAAGTGAGTGTGGAGCAGGAGGAGGTCAGGTTTGTGTAGCCTCATGGTATGGAACCATTTTTTTCAGTGCAATCGAAACACATCAAAAGAAGAAGGAGCATATTTTTTGTTTTATTTTGGATTTGGGCTTGATTAATTTCTCAACGGGCACAAGTAACGATAAAAAATCAATTGAATTTCAAATATTTTTTTATATGTGTTTTTAAATTTTGTATTTCAGGCATTTTTTTAACTCACATATTTATTAATGTTTGTGATTGTATTTCATTTCAATCATGAATACATTTGATTGAGTTATTGATAGAAATATAATGCACTTTTATTCGTGATTCTATGATCCCGAAGTGGCTGACATTTGTCGTTTGAACATTTCAACCCTGGTGCCGCAGCAGTTTGATCACTCTTCTTCTTCTTCCCGTGATTGAATGAGTGTCTTGTCGTCTTGACTGGTGTCTGCTCTGATTTCTCTGAGCTACATTTCTTTGGGGATGCCTTCACTCCTCTCGCTGTCACAGGTCTTTAAAGAAGAGGTGAGGCATTAGAGAGAAGACTGACCAGTGCAGAAAGAGAGCAAAGCCTCTGTGGGATCAGATGGATTTGAGGTTTGGGCAGTATTTTTTTGCACACTTTGAAAATATGGAAAGGTCATGTGGTCGGATTAAACAAAGTGACTATAGCATGAAAATACTGCGTAGTTACCAGTGTTGGGTAGAATGCTTGTATTGGAAAAAAAGTAGTACCTGTATCCTTAAAATACTTGTATTTATTATTTTATTATGATGTATTATGTATTGTATTATGCTGTATTGTATTATGATATGTAGTGTTTATGTTTATGGTAAATACATTTGTATCAATAAATGTTTAAATGAATAAAACATGTTCTTTGTTTGTTTTTGTGACTGTGAGACAAGTTTGATCAACCATTTTACATCTAGAAAAGAACACACAAAGTTTCATTTTTAACCCTAAAAATGTAATGAGAAAAAGTATGTATTCCTAGCAAATACAAAAATGGCTGTACATTATCTTGTGTCTGTGTGCGCTTTATTCTTTCTGTTCTGTAAATCTATCAAATTGAAGAATTTTGAGAATATTGATGACAGAGGCTGCATCCAAATTACCAATAAGATATAACTCTCTCTTCTCCTCATTTGTGACATCAGTGGCATTACATATTTTGTGTGTGGTCTCGCTCCCTTAAATGTTTCTGCCCTGTCTTTTTTATTGTATATGAACCTTGTCCCCTAAAGTACAGATAGGCCAAAATAGATTTTCTGAGACTTATGCCATTTTTTCTACAGTTGACTTGTCAATTTTACATGGTAGTTTATAGGTTGTAGCTCATCTTCTATAAATTCAGATAGAACACTGAAATTCCCCCACTGTAGCACCTATTCTTGGGTTTCATATGACGCCACGGCAGTGGCGCGAATAAGAAACTTAGGACAGGACGTGACGTATCCTGGCGGTGCAGTCTGCCGGGTTTATACACGGAGATATACAGTAGTAGAAGAAGAAGCGCTGTGAAAATGCCATCTTTTGTGCGGTGTACGCTTGTAGCAACTGCGGAAATAGAGAGAAAGACAAGAGTTTCTTCCGTGTTCCAACTGTGGTCTCATATAAAGGAGTACACTTTGAAAAAATCACTCGAATGAGGCGGGCGAGGTGGATCAAGGCTTTCCCAGATAAGCGCCCCCTAAAGGCCACCCGAATGAAATGCAGCAATTTATTCTGTTTTTCTTTCCAAAAATGCCCGATATCAAGACTCTTTTGAGAAATATTTTTTAGTACTCCCTTAGAATTGAGTGCCCCAATCCCGACTAAGACTGTTACAACAACCATACACCGCAGGATGAGAGCCTTTTGACTCCAAACAGACACGATTTACATGGTTTTCAATGGGAGCAAAACTGAGTTGTCCCACCTCTGCTCATTCGCCCCCTACTGGCCAGTTTAATGAAATTCAGACTTAAGAACCTCTTTTCTTGTCTCATCTACTGGCCATCTAACCACAGCTGCCATAGATCCTCATTCACAGCAGATAGAACCCTCTGTGAGTCCTCTTGTAGCACTTACACTCTCCAGCCCTGTCCCCCACAGGGTGATCTGGGTGTGTCTCCAGCCGTTGCCCCCGGTGCGGCCCCAGACTGCGGGGCTGTACTGTTTGCCCTTCTTCACGAACACTTGCAGCATGCCCACGTGGTGACCTGCCAGCTTGTTCCGGAACGACAGGCACAGGTTCCCGTCGTTCCAGGGCGGAGTGAGGGGCAGCACCAGCCTCGCCCCGCGCCCGGTCCTCTTGTTCCCCACCTCAGGGATGGTGAGATACCGGCCCCCTGCAAATGAAAAGACTCATTACACTGCAAAAATTATAGATTTGACAGAAGTTGACAGGCAATCACATATGAATCATGAATCAAAACAAATTCTATATTGTGAATAACACCCCTACATAAATCAGAGTGAGATCACAGCTCAATAGTTGCTAAAAATGAAGATCTTGGTTTAACTGCCACTTTTCTCCCACTTTAAACATATTTATTTGGCATTTTTGTGTCATTATTATTGTATTATTAATGTTTAAAGATGCACGAGAGAACAAAACAAAGCTAAGAAAATACTGCACATATACATATGACATACGGTAACACACAACAGATTATAGGTTCCTTAAAGCTGCAGTACCTTACATTTGTCTGATTAATAACTCATGCTGTTTGTCCAATCACAAAGAGTCTTGTAAAAGTAAAATGTTGTGAAGAAATCAGACTACAACATGCTTCATCTTATTAGAAAATATGGTATGTTTTGTATACTTGTATACTATTTTTGACGCTTTAGGCAGAGAGCTGAAAGGCTGAATGAAGGTATTTTTCCTGTTTTTTCACTTTCTTGACTGGAAATTCTGTTTTGTAACAGAGGCCAAAATACATGCGTGTGAAAACCATTGAGTTTTGAGAGAGAGAGGAAGGAGTTAGATGGCTTTTATTACAGGGTTAAAACATGTTTGAAAGCTACGCTAACTCTACTGTGTATTTATTTAACATTATTTCCATTCTCATTATTTCGATTCCAGTAGGTATCTGAGTGAGGAGTGGAGGAAGATTGAAGCAGGTGAAACAAAAAAATATCCCCCATAAGACAAAAACATATGGGCATGTTTGCAGAGTTTTATAATTTTCTGCGGATCCTCTCACAATTGAATTTGAATCGAACTGACGTCTATTCTAACTGCCTGCGATTGACTTCCAAATAATATGCTAGAAAATAGGCCTTCATCATGATGGTTAATTAAGCTGTCAGAGAGTTGTGAGGATCCTTGTTACGTTGCACAAGGCGTCACAGCAGACAGTGATGAAAGAAAGAAAAAAGACCTTAAAAATGGAAATTATGTTCAATTATTTGCATTATTTTTGGGTTCTTAAACATTGCCTTTACGTTTAAAGATTTTGAAGTTTCAATAATAATCATTTCAGTACAGCCTCATTGATGTCTGCACTGCCATCTATTTTAGGGAAGCAATAGTTTTATCGATAATAAATAGAAGAAAGCAAACCGTAGTGAAAACGAGTATCCAAACAAAAACAAAAGCATGAAGTTGTTACCAAATATAATTTCAAGTCAAATTGCTACATTAAAATTAAATTATGTATGGGCTCTAAACAACTAAAATGACCTCTGTGGCTCTCGTGGCCGGATTCAGGGGACAAGTTGGAAAATTCCTGACGTTGGTGTGAATTAAGCTTTCTAGGACTAATTGATGTTGCAACATGGGAACAATACTGGGTTTTTGTGATACTGCACGTTAAAGCCAGATCCCGTCATAACTTTGAAGCTAAGCAGGGCAGGATCTTGATAGTAATGTGATGGGAGACCTCTGGGTACATCAGGTGCATCTGTGAAGTCCTACATTCTCATTTTGTCCTTGAGCAAGACACTTTACTTTTGGAATGAGCCTGGTGTGTGTGAATGGTTGGTGGTGGTTAAAGGGGCCGATGGCAGTGTGCCCTAGGACAGCTGCGGCTACAGTAGTAGTTTATCACCACTGCGTAAGAAGTGAATGAATAATGCCATGCGAGTGTCTAAAACATCACTATAAAACAGATGCATTATTATTATTATTATCTAGTGATAGAACCAAGCAATTAGTTCATTATTTTATGGTTTCAAAGTGAGGAACCCCAACATTAATTTCTTTGAGAAATGAGAATATGTAAAACTCCACCCACACACATAAAGGCAACGCAATTAACTTATTAATTCATGTGTTAGTTTTAAAGAAGCTTTGGGGAGCTGACGTTAAGAGCTGTTTGGGGTAATGGCTGTTTAATGATGTGGTATTTTGCCGACCCAGCAGCTCAGAATAAAACTCAGGAAAGCCACTGGGCCAATGAGGCTTTCTACATAAGTAATGAGCCTGCGATCTTTGCATTCATCGGCTCTGAGTGTGAGCAAGCTGCAGTTAATCACACTCCACATTGGGATTGATGTAGGGAAATGCCTTCGACTGAGAAGTGGGGGGAAAGAAAGGCTAAGCATGCATTTAAATGGATATTTTAGTAATACAGGTATGTAAGGAACATAGGAACAGATCAAATTGAATGATTTTGAGAATATTGATGACTGAGGCTGGATTCAAATCACCTCTAAGATATAACTTTCTCCTTGTATTTGTTTGCCATTTACATTTGACCTGTGTTATGTTTGGGCACCTTTTCCTTTTTTTGGGTTTTATAAAAAAAATTAAGATTGTTTTTACGAGTGTATATCTTATAGGTTACCTTTTTGCGAATGTTTTGATAAACTTTTTGTAACCTATTTTGTATATTTTGCAGCTCGGGCCGGGAGTATGAGAAGCGCTGTCCTAGTGCACTCCCGCCCCTCTCTGCTCTCAGCCTCTTTGGTAACACCTGCTGAGGTGAGTGTTCACCCTCTTGGTCCCTTTTGCGGCCTCCCCAGACGCCGCATGGTTTGGCTGCTTTTTTAGCCATTCATTAGCATTTTTTTCCTGTCCTTATTTTTGTTTGATCTGGTGGGTCCGGTGGTTACATTTTCATTGGTGAGGGTGTAGCTATTTGTGTTTGCTTTACTCTTTAGTTAGGGTGTCAGCATCGGATCCGGATGGCCCTTTATAGGGTTGGTTCGGTGTCGACCCATTTTGTTTGTTTTGGCTGGCCCACCTAGCCTGGCCTTAGCCATCCATACACTCCGCTCAATCATCATTTCACTGCATGTAACGTCTGGGTCTAGTCCCTATGTTAGCGATTACAATCGGTTGAATTTCGACCGACCAATCAGCGAGTGCAGAAGGCAGGTGTTGTAGTTAGTTGTGGGTGACGTCAAGAGTTTGCGTCGAACGGGCAGGTTGTAGTTTAGCAATGGCGAAAAATGCGATAGTAAAGTAATCCGGTCTGGTTCGATCAAGAAATTGAAGCCGGAGCAAGAGGAATGTTTAGAAAATGTAATCGCTGGAAAAAAAATTGGCGCTACTTCCCACGGGCTTTGTTAGTGGCAAAGGAGATTTCTATGCTAAATGCTAACGACTCACTCGGGCGCATTACATACGTCACGGTAAACTCAGATCCAATCGTTTCAATCTGCAAAAGGAGTTAACCCCTCCTATCTGTAAACGGAGCTCAATGGAGCACCTCCAGACCTTAGTACGAAATGTCATTTGTACTATGGTGTGGTACGACCAGGCTATGGCCCAACCTGGTCCACCTTTAATTTGATTACTTTGGATTTTTTGTGTTCTGGACACGGGGTTGTTGTTTTTTTGATAAATCTATATATTGAAATATAATAAAATCTAGACTCAAACGAGAAAATATATAAATAAAATCAACTTTGAACTCTCAACCTGTCTCTGTGTCCTCAAATGTGTTTTGTCCTTCGGGTCGTAACAACTTGTAAATTTTACATTGCAGTTTAAAGTTTATAGCTCATCTTATACATTTGTGTTTAATTGTGTTCAACTTTGTTTATTTACTTTATCACCTTCAATGGAGGTAATCCACAGTTTAACCCTAACCTAGCCCTAACCGTTTCATGTATTTTAATGGCACACTTGGATTGAAACAGAACTCAAACAAGAGAAAATAAAAAATAAAAAAGTTGCCATGGTAGCATATCAGCCAGATGGGAAGAAGATGGCCGATAAAAAAAAAGTATAAACAATTGTCCATAAAGGGCCCTACCGTATAGGATCAATGGAAAGCTGAGGAAGGATTGCTTCAAAAATTGGGATGCAGCCAAAGACGGAGACAGTCCAAAGCAATCAATAAATCAGTTCAGCATCATAAAGAACGATTGAATGTGTGTCTGCTGTTTTTCACTGTTTTTTTTATTATGTACAAAACTTCTTTATTTGGTCCTAAACTTGTGAAATGAGTCTGTCACTCTGTCTGCAGCAGTGTTTAGTCTGTGCCCCCTCCCTCACATGGCTCAAGGCCTTTTCCTCATCTGAACCCAAAGAAAACAAGCTCACGTTTCCATTTAATATGTGCCGCTGGCGATCACGCATGCACTCTTTCTCATTTGCATTTGTTTGGAACCGCAAAGACAAACACGTCCTATCAAGACAATTACATCATTACTATTGATTGAGATACAACAACAAATAATATGTTGCCTAATGTGGGGCCTGTTTTGATATAATGTAAGGAAGCTCTCCTACCTAGAGCTCACCACACCCCTAAAGTAACTCCCCAAAGGATATTCTCTTTTACATATATTGTCTATGCCTACTTAAGCTATGTACACTAAACAATTATAATAGATTGCTTCATTATAAGACTACACTGCAGAGAGGGCCAAAAAAGAAGTAAGAAATTGCTTAAATGTAGCTAAATTAATGAGTCTTCTTAAAACCATAGTTGCTAACAGAACAAGTAATAATTTTCATGCTTGACATAATCTTAAAGCTTTTACAATCCTATCTAAATACTTCCAATATGTCTATTATCTCTGGTTGGGCTTTATGCAAGAGTTTAATCTTGACTTTATTACCCCCTCTTTACAATTTTATTATTCAATGGAAGAAGCTCATTAGGGTGATTTTGCCTTTTTACTATAAACAGTTTATATGTTTTAAAGCGGTATTAAAAGTATTGTACTCCGACAGTGCATGTACTCGTTCCCAAGTGAAGCAAACATTGTGTCCATCTTTGATTGAATAAAAAAATATATTGCTTAAGTTTGACTTTTTATATAGTTCTATTTTGATTTCGGTCTCACCTGAGGGATCGGGCGTGGTCTCCCAGTGCACGTCTCCATCCTTGTCCCTGATCCAGCCGCAGAGTCCATCATCAAAGGAGCAGCTGAGGAAGCCTGCACCTAAAGGACAATACAAAGTGTTTGCACCGCGCACCTACTGTATAAGTTCACACACAAACATTTGGTCAAAACTGTATACAGTATTTATGGAAAAAAGCATATGTGGAGGATTCCAAACAAAGTAAAATAAACAAGCCAAGCCAAAGTTTCATTTCACAATATGTATTCAAAACAGCTGCCTCCTGCCCATCTTGATGCATTTATGGTTTCTTTATATGCCAATTCAATACATTGCCGTTGAGAAAGTTTTATTTTTATTTTTTATAAATAGCAAAAATAAAATGCACTTTACAGCCTGGGCACTGTGACTATTTGACAAGCTGATATTACTGTCAAGGCTCTATTTCTCTTTCTCTTTCAAACCTGAGCTTCTTTTGATATGTAAGCTAGCTGTTCAGATCATAATGAATGCCCCTTTCAATGTTGCTACCTTTGTATGTTTTGGTAACTGGAGAAAAAATAGTTTGAAAATGTAATATAGTTTTTAGCTTAAGAATAAGTAATAGGCTCACAGAACAGCAAGAACTCATTACAGATAAACAATATGTTTCTTTTATGTATGAAGAGCAAATAGCAACTAAACCTTTTATTTTTCTCTCCGTAATACTGTATTGTATCTACGTTGAGTCATGATTCAAGCTGGGCATAATATCGCTTCATCCAGGCACTGCATAACAAACTCCACAACAAGAAGAGCATCCATCATTTTATCCCCAAAGACAGGATTTTACAAGAATACTTCAGTTCATTTTCTGCGCCAACGACAGCGGCGTCTCCCATGACGCTCTCCGACAAATGATGCGACGAGAGTAAATACACAACTAATTAGGTCAAAAATTTCACGTTGCACTGTTACAGCACACAGTACAATAGAGAAAAGTAGCACTGCCTCCATTTCTGGATTTTCTTCACATAGACACTGACAACAATGATCTTGTTGACATTTTGCTAAAATAATCATAAGGCGACAGTGAGAGAAAGAAGAAGCTATCTCTGGGAATGTCTTGGAATCCACATGTCAACAAGATGCAGGGCTTCGTCTCATTTGACTCTGAGCAAAGACACATCAAGAGTAAACTAAAGTGAAACCTCTTCAAAAACCAAGCAAAATTGCTCATTGACATTTTAACTGGATAAATAATCTGTTTATATGAATCTCCTAATGGCTGTAATGGATTCACCGATGAGGTTGTATGTCAATTCCTCCACCTCAACAATGCCCATGTCTAATTATGTCAGTATGTGAACTAAAGGACAAAAAGAGTGTAATATACGTACATTATACACAACATATGCAACACAACATGCATGTATAACACAATTCTGTTTTTAATCAGCGCAGAAAATTGCCACATGAGCGCCTGAATTGTTTTAGTTTAATATATTAATAATAATAATACATTTTATTTAAAAGCGCCTTTCTAAACACCCAAGGACACTGTACAGAGCATAATAAAAACATTAAAAACAGAAGCAACAGAATAAAACAGTAAAGTACAATATGGAATGGTGGGTGCGTGTTTGTTAGGTGGGGTAGGACAGTCTGAACAAATGGGTTTTGAGTCTGGATTTGAAGAGTGGGAGAGAGTCAGCCTTCAGCCTAATCCCTTCGGTCACAATTGCGTTTGTAAATCTATGTTAAAGCATGTACACTACTGACAAAAGCTACATTCTTTTTGCAACTTTGTCCTTTTTTTGAATGCCTTTTTTATGTCAAACAATAATAATCATTTGTATGACCGAATAAACAAACCTGTATACCTGTCTGAATCAAGGAAATTTTTTCTCATTTACTTTTTTCTGTTTTTTATTTTGGCAGTCTTCTATAAAGTTTCAGGGCTCTCTTTCAGGGCGTCTAACTCTCCCAAAGAGTTAGACGCAAAAAAAATCTATTCAACGTATATAGTCTGGTAACCTTGTGGGAGAAACATATTTGACCATCTGACTGCTCCCATCTCCAAACCACTAATCTAAACATTCAAACTTGAGAAGCACTTTGAAAACGATCAATTAGTCAGTGGAGCAGTGGAGCACTCAGCCGCCCCTAATGTGAAGAGTGGAAGTGTGTGTTGCATGGTGGGCCCGGAGCCATCCTTCACAGCATCAGCAGCAGATGCAGCCTGTCACCTCCTGTTGCTGCTCTATCAAAACACATCTGGTCATGGCTGCCAATTGGTGCTTTCAAATTATTGAAAGCACCATTATTGAAAGCAGTCTACGCTTGTCACGGAAACAGATATTGAAGCTTTATTGGTTCAAATATATATGAAGATAACAATAATAGTAAGTAAGTAAGTAAGTAAGTACTAATACTAAGTACTAATATTGAGACAGCCTTACGAGCTGTGAAGCAGGGACTAGCTTTGGAACACGTTACCTGCAGAACTGAAAGCCCTTACAGACTTGAGGGAGTTTAAAATTAAAGTCAAACTATGGCTCAAAAGGACCCAAACTTGTGAGCATAATGCAAGACTGTAATCATTTATAGTATTTTTTTTTTTTTTTTTGTATTTTGTATTTTGTATTGTATTCTTGTTTATTATTTAGTATAAATTATTACTTATTTTTTTAATATAATGATGTATGTATAATGTAAATGTGATGTATTTCCAGGTTTTAGGGACCAGGTCTGCAAACTAGCTGTTAGCTATACGGCCTATGAACACAGCATCGGTTCCTGTAACAATGCTTCTTGTTCTGTCCCTACCAAATAAACAAATAATAATAATATTGATATAGGCGTAGAAGTGAGAATGTAATATATGATTAAGTGTCGTTATTCAAGAATGAGGGATATTTTTCATCTGAAATATCAGCCAACGGTTGACATTATGCACGTGAAGCGCCCCCCAGCTTTAGTTCAGTGAATTTTAGTTTCAGGGCGAGGAGGACAAGGACACTTCTTGAAGCTCACATAATCCAGCTCTATTTCTTGTAGCGGCGTATATATGTTGCATGCACAGGTTGCGCAAAGACACGCACTTGCAACAACCTGGGAATGCTCTTGTTCACACTAGTCACATGGTCAAGCTCTAGCAGCGCATTCACAGCGTTGTTGTCAAAGTGGTTGTTTTGTGCTACTCCCACCTCCATAGACGAGATAGGAACCATCCATAAATAGATGCAGTGTTTTTTAGAATTTATGTACATTCTAATGTTTGATGATTTATGCATGATGTGATATGGGTTGTGAGGCGCTTTGTGTTGCCTTGTGTAGGAAAGGCGCTCTACAAATATAAGTTGACTGATTGATTGAACCACCTCATCTACGGAGGTGGGGACTGTTGTCATTCACTACGAAATGGGCGCAGTTGCTCTGGGGGTCAAAATGGTGCAGCAATGAAGGATGTGGAATCCCATTTAAGTATCCACAGCAAGCAACAGGCAGTTATCCGTGATTATGCGCCCCTCACAAAAATTACATTTTCAGCAAGAAATAGTCGGAATACTCTGGATCCGTGGAAAATTTTCACCCCTGAATTACCTCTTCTAGAGAGTAATGCAATCAGGGTTTGTCAAGTCACTCAGTCAATGAGTTAACGACTTGTCAGCTCAGACAGATTGTACAACTTTGAGGTGATTACTGCATGTACCACATCCATCCATTTCCTTCCGCTTCATCCATTGGCAGGTTGCAGGAGCAGCAGTCTAAGCAGAGACACCCAGACTTACCTATTCATACACACCTCCTCCAGCTCATCCGGCGGGACCAGAAGGCGTTCCCTGGCCAATAAATAGACATAGTTCCTCAAATAGATCCTGGGTCTTCTCCGGGCCTCCTCCTGGTGGGACATGCCTGGAACATGTCCCACCAGGAGGAGTGGGACATGTATCCGGTGAGCGTGTTTCTTAACTGCTATCACTCTGCTCTCTGTTTGCACTAACAAACACATTACAAATCCACGTATTGTACACCAAGCTAACTGTGTAAGCACTCCGAGTCAGCTGTACTGTAGCTGAGGTTTAGGTAGCGGTTGTTTGTCTGGTCTCGGAGTCTGTTGTGCGGGCCCGGATCCGTACTAGCTTAGCCTAGCCTAGCTTAGCCTAGCCTAGCCGCTAACTCGCTACTATGGCGGCTGCTGTCTCTCCCTCAATCCTTTACTGCTCGAGTTGCCATATGGCGAGTCTAAACCCTGGATCCTTCTCTGAGGGTAGTGATAGATGTGTGAAGTGTAGTGTAGTCGTAGCTCTGGAATCCAGGGTCAGTGAGTTAGAGCTGCGTCTCCGAGCACTGGAGTCTCGAGCTAGCGCTAGCATTAGCTACAGCCAGGCCGTATCCTCAGGGACAGCGGAGCGCAGCTTTAGGGAAAGGCAGAGGAGAACTAGCGAGCCTAGCCTCCCAGCCCGTCCTCCGCAGCTGGGACAAGACCAGGATAGTGATGGCTTTGTGACTGTTCGGAGAGGGCGACGTGTTGTTGGTAGTTTCCCCATTGGGCCTCCTCCTGTTAGCATTTACAATCGCTGGGACGCTCTGTCCGGCTGCGCCCCCGCGCGGCCGGGCAGGGAAGAAGGCCCCACTGAGAGAGCCGCTGAGAGAGCTGCTGAGAGAGCCGATGGAGTCGCTGATGCGCTGGTAATTGGCTCCTCTATTGTTAGAGGTGTTAAGATCCCAGGAGCCACTGTTCGGTGCTTCCCTGGGGCCAGGCTTGGTGATATTGAAGGGAATCTGAGGCTCATGATGACCCACAAGCAGCGTTTCCGTCGAATTGTTATTCACGCGGGTGGTAATGACGTTCGGCGGAAACAGTCCGAGGTGTTGAAGCTGCAAGTCGCCGCCGTGTGCAAGCTGGCTAGCACAATGGCCGACACTGTCATCTTCTCTGGGCCCCTACCTAGCACTAGCAGTGCAGAAGCATTCAGCAGACACTCGGCTTTCAACCGCTGGCTGTCTGGCTGGTGCCCTCGAAGTGGTGTTGTTCATGTTGACAATTGGAGTGCCTTTTGGGGAAAGCCCGGTCTCATCCGCTCGGATGATATCCACCCAACGTTGGCGGGTACAT